TCAGCATGAATGGATTTTTCTTGGCATTCTGCCAAATACAGATCCCATCAGTTTGGGTACAAGTACTTGTTGAATAGTTTTTAAGTAAGAAGGGAGCGGAAAATTTTTGAAAATAGAAGCTAAACATTTCTTACCTTTAATTTATTTTTGAGTTTGGTTTCATTTCATGCATTTTCTTAACTGGTATTCATATCAAGGACTTAGGTTGAGTTTTTTGCATCTATACGGCCCACGACGATGTCACGCGCAATTTAATCTATTGCGGCGTTTACGTTGATGCGGCGATTCTGTGTAATTTTAATTTTTTTCCCACCATTTTTCTCGAGTGCGGCATTTACGCTGATGCGGCCTTTCTTCAGAAATTAAGGTAATCGCAATGCACATGCTGCTGGACACCCAACATTATATTTTTCTGTGGTCAGGAGGCTGTGAAAATGTGGTCTATATGCACAATGACCAGGATGGCGTGTGTTGTTAACACTTGTTTCTGTAGAACCTGGAGCCCAAAATTGGACGGAATAGAAGTGGGGTCGAGTGCTATTTATGGATGAGAGCCAATTTAATCTGATGAGTGATTCAGAATGTAATCTGGAATCTGCAAATCTGGAAAGAGAAGACAACATGTAATCATCCCTCTAACATCATCGAAAGGGGACCATTTTGGAGATGCCAGAATTCTCGTTTGGGGTGGTATGCTTGGTAATCATACTGTGTTCCATTTCTTCCAGGGAGGTTCAGTCATTTGTGCTTGCTATTGTACCAATGTTGTTTTGTCTTACATGCATCTGTTTAGACATGATGTGAGTCTGGACTTCCTCTTCATAGAAGATAATGCTACACTTCATAGTACAGTAACTGTTGCAGAGCTCTTGGAAAGTGAAGATATTCACTGCGTAGATAGGCCTGAAGGGCCCATGGACCTAAATCCCATAAAGCACTTATGCGGACCTTTTAGGGAGACGGTTGGCAGCACACAGCTAATTGCCAGCAACAGACTCATTGCTCGCAGCAAGTTGTGTGAGGGCTTATGTTACAAGAGGAATGGGTACTATGCTTCAATGGCTCCTTGACAACCTTGTCCTCAGGATAGACAGACATTGGTGCATTGAAGTCGTGTGATTTTATATACCCTTTTAAAAAACGGATTTTTCTTGGTGCTGTGACATAGACGATGTTATCTGCCCAGTTGTGCTCGGAACTACCTTTTCAATAAAGTGTCTTTTTATCCATTTGATACCTTGTTTGGATGGTTTTGCTCATTTGTCCTATATTTTCATATCTAGGAAATCTTAGGTATGAGTTAGGTCAATGTGAAACACATCTGTAGAGCTTTACACTAAAAAATATCTTGTCCTTGAATTTTGCACGCCGGTGTTCTAAGGACTTTGCACGCCGGTGTTCTAAGGTAGTTCTAAGGACATCTAAAACTGTCCTTAGAACTATTTTTTCTCCTCTCACCAACTATGAAAATTTATTCCAAAAACCACCCATTTGTATCCTAAACCCCAGGGGGATCATTTCTCTTGTGTTTTTTAGTCTCTCATCTGAAATTAACAAAGACTATACCCTAAAAGAATAAAATCAAATCAGCAGTTTTTCCATTTCACTTAGAGATGGACCTAAACTACATTTCTATTTCCCATATTTTTAAGTGAGCTTTTAAATTGTGTGACCTTATCACACAAAGGGAAGAAGGTGTAACCCCCTGTATGGCAAATTAAATCTCAATTACCTCTTTTCATTTTCACTGCATTCTAGGATTTTGGAAAACCCAGGCTAACAGGGCACATTTAACCCCCACGATTGTGTAACATTTTGATGACAGACAACAGTTTTGGAATTGATGAGTCTTTTTCCTGGGAAAGAGTGATGTGCTGAAATTCAGATTTTAGCTTAGTAGGGACAAATGAGAAACTCGAGTGGAGTAAACAAAGAATAAAAAGAAACTAATATACTTATATTCAGTCCTAGCATAGGGTCAACTCCCCATCCTCCCATGAACATAATATTGAATCCTAAACAACTTGTAAATTAATCATAAAAAAATTATTGCATCATAAACTATTATAATATGAAGAAATTCTGTCATCTCAGAGAGTAGAAAAGAACACCGTTGCTGCCATCTATTAGCATGGTACCCTCAATATGGGTGCCAGTATATATTATATACCGGTCTTAAAATCGTATAAATAATCTTCTGTTAATTATCACTTCTGACCGAAATACAGTAAATATATAAGATTCAGTCTGTATATGTCATATTGGCAGATTTTGAATTTTTTCTTCCCCACCAATAGAATTTATGAATCTTCAAACATGATACCTTGGAACAAGGTATATTAATTTCATAACTGCAAAATATTGAGGATTCATAGGGTAGTGCTACTATTTAGAATCAAAAAGAAATACTAAAAACTTAAGATTACAGGTTTTGGTGTAGAAAAATTAGCATTTTTAGCAGGTTAATAAATTGACAAACATCTGGTATATCTCATATACAGGTTCCCTTTAAATGGTTAAAACGTATTTATTTAAAAAAACTATTATTGATGTAATGAAAGGTCAATTTAAATCTCTGTATATATTTTCTAGCTTATTGAAAAATTTTAATTTAAATTGTTTTTAGATAAACATTTATTTAGAAAGGTTGGTTCTTAAAGCATTTACTTGAAGAATTTAAGAAGCAATATTTGGTTGGCCGATAAGTTTTTTTGATTAGTTTGGGTTTCCACAAAAATAAACAAGAATTGAACAGCAAATCAATCAATAAGGTATTCTCCGTTGTTGTGTACAGCTTCTTTTCAGCATTCAACAAGCTGTTCGGTGCCTCAACAGCAGAAATCACCGGATTTGGACTTGGAAGAAATCATTCAGCCAGGCCTTCGGTTCCACGATATTATTGAACAAAACGGCATGTAGTGTATTCATGGAGGGTCGGAATATATAGAAATCGAAAGGCACCAAGGCGGTAGAATAGGAAGTATGTTTCAGCACTTCCTAGCCAAGCTTTTGAATGACTTCCTTGATTATATTGGTGATGTGAGGGCTGATGTTTTCATGCTGCAAAAGAACACCATGTTGCCGATCAGGTCATTTTTGCTAGATAGCATTGTTGAGTCATTGCAGGGTAAGTTTTACATTCACTGTTTGGTTCTGAGCAAGCAGTTTGTAGTAGATCATGCCTTTCCAGTCCCACCATATGCACAATATCATTTTATGCAGGTGAAGATCTTATTTTGCTTGCAGTGTTGCCCGTTTTTGGGGGGCTAAACCATTCTTTGTGCTGCTTCATGTTGCTGTACAGGCATCATTTTTTGTCTTTGGTAACAATTCGGTAGAGGAATCTTTCTATATCTCTATATGTCCATAAGTTGACCGATGACAGGCAAGAAAACCAGTGGAGATCATGGCTTTGCAGTGGCATCGCAGAACATGCGATACAAACTCAAAAGTATACAGAAAACCGCCGATTGGCGAAAGACATTTTAAACCTGTATGGCGAACTTACAAGCTGATGGAAAGGGACGAGTTTTTCTCCTGCTGTCTGTACTTCACTGTGATGTGAATCCCGGTGTCGGTGGTTGGGCCGTTCTCTGTCGTTTTCAGTCCATTATAGTGCTGCCAGCTCTGGTAACTAAGTTGTTTTTTTTTTCCTTCTTAAATTTGATTAGTAATTGCTATATGTCTCTCTTAATTAAGATTGCTGTTGTCCATTTAATTCTATCGATCCTCTCTTAGGCACGTGTACCTCAGCTTGTTGTTGTCGTTCAAAACATGCTGAACCCATGCACCCCACTTTTAAACCTTTCCCATTGAGTGAACGTGATCCTCTATGGTACTGTGGAAGCATTCCATTATCTCTGCCAATTCCCTTGACATTTGGCATGGATTTTCATGAATGAACTGATTCCATTCAAACATAATGGGGTGTCCAGTGTGATGCATGTCTTTAAGGTCAAAATTGCATTTTAGAATCACTTAAATCAATTCTGAGCCATCCTAAGGGGCATCACTTCTTTGCTGTATACGTAACAAATGTCTCAAGCAGTTTCTTTGGCACCTCAATTAAATGCAAAAAGCAGAAGGTATTGAAAATGCTCTTTTTTCTTGACATGACATTCTATTGTTGACATGACACCTGTAAAAAACAGAAAGTACAGTGTAAGTCAAAAATGAATGCCACAATTTCATGAATGCATTACATAAAATGCAATAAAGTTATTCATTGAAAATGTACATACATGGAGGTAATATAAGCAAATTTTGAATCTATGCCTCACAAATGTTCAGTTTGCGTTCCTTTTGTTATACGGTATACATCAAGTCTCAAATGTAATTCTTGACAAGCTTTGTGCAGCATGTCTGTATCGATGCTGGCAACAGCAGCTGTGATATGACACTTACATGTGATCTTTTACGACCCCACCCCAGAAAAAAAATCGCTTGGGTTGAGATCTGAGGCTAGACTTGCTAACATGAAATTCAAGCACACAAAATGCTTTTTGCTGTTGCGTCGCCATTTTATAAAGGCATTGTTTTTCTGCCCCCTGCCCCTTCCTTTTTGCAGAAACACTGATGACAATTTGAGTTCCAGTGCCATCTATTGATGACTATTCAAAACTTGCTTATATTACTTCTGCCTGTATTTAAATTTTTAATGAATACATTTATTACATTTTGCGTAGTGCACCTATGAAATTGGACCATTCATTTTGACTTACTCAGTATATTGGGGTTAAAAAACTAAATTAACTGTTTTGTAAACCTCACAGTTCTCTATCAATTATCATAAAACACATTATCAAAACAGTTTATTTCACTTGAAAAAAAAATCAACTTATCAACAAACACGATAAACCAAAACAGATTCTGAGGGAGACTGTTTACTGGTTATTAGCTTTATTGTAAGTAGCTTATTAAAGTAATAAAACTTACACATATTCTCTTGCTGTTTTTGAAATAAAAAGTATTCATTTATGTTTTTCTTTGATTATTTCCAGGTCTTAAAAACAGATGTAGCTACTTTAATAAAGTTAAATATTCAGAAAAATTTCATTGGTTCTGCTATGGCAGGAAGCATTGGTGGATTTAATGCTCAAGCTGCTAATATTGTCACTGCTATCTTTCTTGCTACAGGTCAAGTAAGTAATCTGTATTTTCATGTTTATTTTTTTAGTTTTTTGTTTGTATATTAAGTATTCACAGACGTATATTGTCAAATTCCAAATATTGAAACTAACTGGTGCCATGATTTTTCAAGGTAGTAACCCCTTAATCATTGCATATTTTTATAAAAGTCTTTAAAATCATCAGATGTTTTTTACTGTCCCATTTTATTTTTCACAAAATTTTATGTTGTTTGGTTTTACTGGCAGTATGTGTTTTGTTTTTTTGAAATTTTATTTAACTATATAAAATTCTCTAAAATGCATTTTTCATTATTTTTGGGTCCACAATTGGAGTGTGTAAAAAAAACACACATGAGAAAAATATATCTCGGAATTGCATCCAAATTCTTAATATTAAAATCCTCTTTTTCAATAAAGCTTATTGTTTATTTAAAAATAAAAAACTATAGAATTAATTTCACATTTTTTTCCCTCAACCTATCTTTTCTGGTTACTGGTTTCTTAGTATTGCGTGATGACAGGTGATGATAGACTCACCATGTCATTATGAATTCCAGTTATGGTTGGAGTTGCATCAGTAGTGATACTAACAAGTTTGTTTGTATCAAAATTATGTGCAGAATACGAAATTAAAATGGAGGATAAAATATCAGCTTCAGTTGTTCGCCTTTCATTTCCAACAAGTGCTTCAGTTACTTCAGGAATTCCTTTAACAAACAATAGCAGCTGACATGTTGACGTAATGTATGTTAACTCATCAACTGCTAGAAAAGTACTTAAATTTGGTGGCAGCAATTTTACATAACATCATTATATAAATTTTCAATTTTTCTTTAGTGTTGTTCTGCTGAGACACATGTTTTTAAATTTCTTCATAGCTTCAGGGCATACTTTCTCAGTATATACACTCCTTTTCAAAATCGCCATCAGTAAATGGGCAGCCACTTTTAGTAATTAAGGATACGGTTCCCATACTAACTTCAACACAGTTACCTAATTGTGAAGATGCCTTTGTAAATACATTCCTTTTTTCAACGAGGGAACGGCGAAGCCAAAAGTGCAACAATGCAAAGCAAATGAATGCGGCACTTCTGATCCCAGCAAATATTTTTCTCTTCCTTTTTACTAGCACATGTGTGCAAACGCACTCGTGTCACATCATACCAGAGACCCTTCCTCAACTTGTGCGCCGTACAGACTAAGAGCAGTTTTCGCGCTCAGATGGTGAAACTTACTAGAATAAATAATGAAGGTGGAAGCAGCGAAATTTTTCTTCTCACAACCCTTTCTAGAGACAACCGATATGTCAAATCGCAACAAAATTTTGAAGCTGGCCACAAGTTGTGCATCCCCAATTTACAGTATAGTTTAATGGTAACAAGAGATTAAGCCTCATTACAATATTCGTGTAAAATTTATATCTTGAATCATAAAGGTGTAGGCGCTTAAATAACGAAATCAAGCAGTCAAATCACAATATAAAAAACATATGCCTTTATAAATTAATCAAAAGTGCCCCCCCTTTTTTAATTATTATTATTAATGACATCAATTTGTAGATGAATTTTGTAAAGAATATTATTTTATCTCTTATTCCTATTGATCTATATAATAAATTAGAGTACTGTTCTGTTATCGGGACTGGATTCAAACATTTTTCCACGTACATATGGATGTATGTATTCATGTATGTGTGTATATATGTAGGTATGTATGTGTTTACACATATATGCACACAGACGCATACATACATTCCTGAATCTGGTCTCAATAGTAGAAGAGTATCTAAATTACTTTTCTTTCTTTTTTTTTAATTCGTTAATCATGAGTTATAAATAAAAGCTTATTTTATAAGAATCTTTTTTTTTTTTTTATTTCTTAAACAACTGTAAAAGAGAAATTTCTCTATTTCTTTTCACTTTCTGACTGGTAACAAATTTCTTGTTATGTTAGAACTAGTGTAAGGCCTTTATCATAAAACATCAAAAAGAGTTGTTCCCACGCTATTGAGGGTCATTACCCGTTGCCATCAGGGTTGGAGGGATGCTTGTCTCCTTAGTCATTTGGGGGTGAAAGTAAGACAAAAATCCGGGCTAGCTGCTCTTTGATGTAATCTTAATTGTAACACAAACATGGGTAAGCTCATTTTCAAGAGTATATTTAAATTGCAGTCTTCAGTAACAATCAGTTAAGTGACCTGCATAAAAGAACGAGATAATCTGAGTCAAACTGTTAAAGGGTTAAGAGATATAAATTGCCAACTGAAAATTTTGAGGGAGGTATAGAATTTTAGGAAGGAAATTTGTTTGAAAAATCAAATTGTTTTTCTAATAAATTTTAAGAGACAAAATTGAAACAATGACGGAATTGACTATAGCCATAGCTAGCTTAAGGAATGAGCATTGATTGATGGAGAATTTATTAATTTCTCATATGGGGGGATCTTTTTTTTTTTTCTAACCAATTTGTATAAAACTACATTAATAGCAGAAGTTCTAAAATTCTTCAAGCATACAGATTTTATAGCAGAACTTGAGCTCGTGAAGAATGAGTATATTACTGGTTGTTTTCAATGGAAATTATAAATGTTGTGTTAAGAAGACAATATATTGGCAATAAAGGGTGAAAAATGTCTTTCGATAATTAAAATTCAAAATAATTCTGTTTTTAAGAAAAATCTTAGTCCTTTTTTGAATATCAGCATCTAGAGTACTATGCATTTTATATCAATTATATCTTAACGTATGCTATGAACATACATGAAAAGCATTAAAATAAAAAAAATTTCCCCCACCCCACTCACCTTCCATTTTCATTTTAGGGCTTTATGAGGCCTTTTGTTATGGAAAACTTGAAATTCCTGATAGCAATCGTCACAAAACTTTCAGTGAGAGATGACATAAACATAAAAACAGTAACTCAAAGTGTGGTATTTTAAATCATCTGCAATTAAAAATAGTGGAAATAAAGGAGTGTGTGCCGTATATTGGACAATATAGTGCATCTGTAAGTTATGACATTACTGTATTATAGGTACATTTCTGACAGGTGGCATGTGTATTATATGTCGCTGATCTAATTGTGTAGTGTGATACACAGCACAAAATTGCTAATGAGTATTGTTTGAGTAACAAGTATGTTGTACAATTAGCCAAATGGCTTATAATTCATTATATTATAGTATAAATATTAGTGGTGTTAGAATTACAGTAGTCCCCAAGCAATGACATGGTACCAACGTGCAGTAATGAGCATGTGTACACGTAGTGTTACCCTGTTAGAGCAACAAAGTAATTAACTCCCATTTTGTTCAAAATACAAAATAACACTGAACTAAGTGCAGCAAATAATCATTGCTATTGAGACAGGTGGTACAGTGGAATACAGTGTGGCACATATCTGGCAGTGTATGTACACTAAATTTCAAAAGGTGTGTAATATAGAAAGAAAGCATCCATCTTCACATGCATACAGGGTGGTTCTAATTAAAGTTACCCTATTTAGACCTATATAAACATCAGCAAATGGACTGGCTCCATGTCCTGGATGGACTGGATATTTCAGAGTTGCCAACTCTCCCGATTTAGGCAGGAGACTTTACACCCACCAATACGATTTTTAACATATTTCTCCCGACTTCTCTTATTCTTAAAATTTCTCACGATTTTTATGTAGCTTGGCCCCCCAAAATGTTATGTACTTCATTATTTGCCCCCCTTCCTCCCAAAAAAGTTTGTTTTTTCTAGATGCATATAAAAAAAAATATTGATGTCGAACCAATGAGGTATGGCACATTTCTGCTATGGGTATGAGAGTCCGAAAATTTGAGTTCCAGTTCTTCAATGAGAATTAAGCTCCACTGCGGATCATCTGGCATATATTAGACAATGATCACAAAGCAAGATCGAGATTGTTTATTTCGTTCGTCTCGCCAGTGAACAACGTAAGTTTCACGTGCTTCCCTGAAACAACAATCTTCTGCTTTAGTTATGTCTGCAAAAATTGTAAAATACTCATTTACTTTTCAAAAATCGTACCCAGATGACTTTCCTTCTATTATTTTGTCAAGGGAAATGTAATATTGCAATGTGTATCGTTTGTCATTGTGATTTTTTGATTTCACACGGTGAAATTGCCAATGTTCTTAAACATGTGCGTTTACAAGGGCTACGTGTGTTAGGCTGGAAAGAAAATGAAATTTTTCTGTGGAATCAAAGGACCAAAATGTTAAAGGCAGTTTGTGTGATCTCTGTATTTTTACTGAAGCACAACCTGCCTCTGAAGGCTTCAGATCATGCTACAGCATTTTTAGAAAGATGCTTCCCAGCAGTAAAATTGCTAAGAAATGCTCAAGTGCAAAGACAAAAACCTTTCTAAAGTTAAAAACTATAGGCAGTTTTTTAACATTTTTATTTTCAGATAATAATTAGTTACTATTTAAAATTAATTTATTATTAAAAGATATATTTTTCTTTCTACATATTTTTATTTTAAAATTATTTTTGTCGTTGAAAATTCTTCTGATTTTTGAGTGTCATAGGTTGGCAAGTATGATATTTTTTGTGATTTTCTCCATGTGTAATGTAAATTTCATGAGTTTCTGGTACAGAGTCCTTTATGAAGTTATCCCTTTCCTTTGATACAGAAGCCCACCTGTGCTTTGCCACATTCAAATTGCCTAACCTAACATAATCTCTGTACCATCAGGGTTATACTGTATTGTTTTAGTGCCATGTTGCAAGTCATAATGGTGATATATAAAAAGA